CGGTCATTGAGAATAGAAGTGAGATACAGTTATTTGGACATTAGTTTTAACAGAGGATTGTTACCAATACATGTTGTAATGAAATTAATTATTATTTATAAAGCACATTTTACAACAACTCTTAAACTAACATAACTGCCCTAAGTGAAGAAATATTAATATAGAAAGAACACAGAAATTCACTTTTACATGGATACCTACTTCCGCCCCAGCACGGGGTTGAACTCTCGACCTTCGGAATCTGTCTCTTAGCAGTGCAGGAACAGCGCGCTAGACCGCTCCGCTATCTAGGCAAGTCAAAAAACTTGCTTTCGATGCCGATGGAATTCTCACGGCGCTGCCCTACACTACACGGATGTGTGTCTGCGTGCGTGCGTTTGTGTGTGTGTGCGTTTATGTGTGTGTGTGTTTGTGCGTGTGTTTGTGTGTGTGTGGGGGGGTGAGTTTGTGTGGGTGAGTGTTGAGTGTGTGTGTGTGTGTGTGTGTGTCGGGAGGGGGGGGGGGTTAACCAGTAAAAATTTAATAGAAACAGTTAAAAAACATATTTATTTGAAAACAATTTGAGCAAATTTTTAATATATTCTCATAGAGCAGGCAATTTTTCTTTCCATTATTACCTTTTTTTAAGCTGTGGAGGATTAATTTCGGGGAGAATTAATTTAAAATATAATCAATATTAAAACCAAATATTGTTTCTTGTATGGAAGCTATTCAATTAGTTTGCAAACTTTTTGATCACCCCTCGTATGTCTCAGTTAATTTTTTTAGATATGAGTATATTTTAAATCACTCCTTTGTCTTTCAAAATCTTAAACTACAAATTAGCAAAACAACTAAAAAAAGCAAATTAAGGTGGAATGCCACACCAACTTTTTATTTTTTTAGATCTTTGAGACATCCTTTTTAAACAAGGGTTTCAGCATTGAAAGACCCACATTAGCTCTAAATTATTTTATATGAATTTTATGCAAGAAAATGAAAAAAAATATATCCAACTAATTTGTTTTCGAGTTAAAGGTTTGCTGTAAATGAATGCATCGTATAGATATCTATTAAAATATGTAGAAAAAGGCTGGTTAGACTTTTTAATTTTATTTCTTAAAAAATATATTTATGAAAAAAATCACATTATTTGGGAATATTTTTTAAACCTAAAGTTAAAAACAACAAAACACTATTAACAAATGAGGAAAACATATTTGTCAATCATATCTTAAAAAGAAATTGAAACGAAATTGAGAAATTTTGGAGAATTTTCTTTTTTTTAAATATATGGACCTAACCCGATCAAAATTAAACTGATCCCCATCAAAATTAACACAAAATGAATTAAGAAATAAAGTCCGCGTTTTCGTGAATTTTGTATAATAACCTCCGAGGTCGAGAAATGTTGTTTGAAAGATAAAAGCCGAGGCGTTAGCCGAGCCTTTTTCTTGCAAACAACAGTTCGAGACAGACGAGGTTATTCTGCATCATTCACGACAACAAGGACTTTATTTCTATTCTACCATGTATACGAGGGGCATTTCAAAAGTCCTGAGAACTGTTTAATCAAAAATTAACCGTTTCACGGAAATTATTGAGTTTGATATCATTGGAAAGATCAGAAAAATATACATATGTTGTGACGTCACTTTATACGTTTTATGACGTAATAAATCCGAAAATGACATCAGAATAAAGAATGTTTAGCATACTGAAAATTCGCGTTTTTAACCATATGAGACAATTTTAAAAGTACTGCCAAAGGCTTATTTGAAAATATATTTCAAAAGAAAAATTCCATTTGCAAAGTAGAGTAGGACTAATGTACTGTATATCAAAACTTCCATATTTCATTGTATGGTTTGTTTACTAGCACGGTTTATGTCCGGTTATGCTATCATCGACATTCATGTAAGATTTTAAGTTAAATGATATGACTGGATTTTCGGTCTTTTGGAATGCTCTCCATTGTATGAAATAAAACATGTTCTGTATAAACCTGAAGAATATTAATGCAGTTTTCAACAAATATAATTTGAGTTACAGTACTCTTACCATTTACAAAAATGTACAAAAGTCTTGCCCCTGACTTGTTTCTGTGTGTATTTTTTCTCATTAATTCAACTTCGGCGCCCCAGAACTCACTACTGCTTTTGACTTTTGTCTCCACAAAAGGTTTATAAATTACACAGACATGTAAAATCTAAAATATATAATTTCAATGAATTAAAATTTGCAATTATGTGGAGGTACGGTGGGGTAACAACTGAGCCCGTGCCATTTTGGATTTTACGAGAAAATATGGGGCACACTAAACTTAACTTCTCTTGAGCCTTCATCGATCCCACAAATCAGGTTAAAACACCCGACGAATTGATGCCATCAAATTTTGTAACACGATCGTCTATTATTCTTTGATTGTCGACTTTGCTTTTTCTGATATTTATGTATGCTTTATGTCATATTTTGAGCGAGATTCGATAAAAATATGCGATGTTTGACAATCGCTTAAACCATCTCAGAACAAGAAGATCTCCGAAGTAGAACACCATATTATAGATTGTAGTCTATGTGAACATTCCACCAACTAGCATTTGCGTCCGATTGCCTGTGCCCGAGTAATGAGCAAAAGTTGTTTTTAAAATTTTTAATTTGATGAAATTGTGTCTTTTGTTACGTCATTTTATGGCCAGTATCGTAAGCATACGGAAGTATGACGTCATTTTTGGAGTCATTACGTCATAAAAATTATAAAGCGATGTCGTAATTAGTGTATATTTTTCTAATCTTTCGAATGATATCAAACTCAATAATTTCCGTGAAACAGTAAATTTTTTATTAAACTGTTCTCAGAACTTTTGAAATGCCCCTCGTACTACAACCACCTAATTACGGATAATCGTTTCCTTTATAGAGAAACAAATTAGGTCACCATGTCTCGATTACGCTGTTTCATTTTAACACCATGGGTAAAATTTGTTTGCTTACCTGTGTATAGAATTCAGACGATTTGAGCTTTCGTTACTTTAAAAATAGCCTTTTTAAATTACGAATTTGTTCGTAATATGTATTAATCAGTCTAAATGAATATACAATAACAAAATCATATTCCTGTTTTACTGCTAAAATCAGGTTGTTTAATGTGTAAAGAGGTCCGAAGAATAGCCCCGCTTAGATATAAAAACCGACGTTCTTCAGCAACTTGATACAATTTACAGTGTTTATACTGCAAAAGACGACACATCGATGGGGTCTAAATAAGTATTTCATTCTACAGCCAAACATGCATTTGAACTACTCAGATTTTATACGTGTTTCTTATCTGATAATTTATTGATGACGTTCGTGATTTTTTGGAGAATAATGTTTGCCGGTTTCCTTTGATCTTTACAATAATCGTGGTAGAAAAAATACTAATTTATTTCTTCTTCGTGTAATAACAATGTAGAAATCTATTTTATTGTCAAGGTCAATAAGGTTTTAACCCTTATTACACCTAATCAGATTTGTATTATTAGGGAGATGTTATTTATTTCCAATAAGTGTACAATTATGGTTGGGATTGGTTTAATTTTGATCGGGATTGGCCAAATCAAAAAAAATAATTTCTCTAAAATTTGGCTATTTCGTTTCAATTTCTTTTATAAATATGATTAACGAACATGTTTTCCTCAGTTATGACTGGTTTTAAAAAGATTTTATCCACAAGTTTGAAAAAATATTCACAAATTATGTATTTTATTTTCATAAATATTTTTTATTTAAAATATTTGAATATCAATCAAGATTTTCTTTGCATATTTTTTTTAGATATTCATGTGATGATTTCATTTACAGCAAAAATTTCACAAGAAAGCCTATCAATATTTTTTTTTTCATTTTCTTTGAAAAATACAAAAAAAAAAAAAAAAAAAAAAAAAAATCATATAGAATAATTAAGAGCAAATGTCAGCCTTTCAATGCTGAAACCATCGTTTAAAAAGGTTGACTCAGAGATCTATAACATAAAAAGTTGGTGTGGCATTCCTCTTTAAAATTCTTAAGCGCATGAATGCAAAAGGTGTTTGAAGGTGATTTTGTTTGGATGCTCTCGTCAGGTTCACTAACTATACATACTCCGTCTTATTCATTGAAAATAAATACAAGACCTTTTAACGATCTTCTGTTTATTTTTATATCCCCGCTTGAAAGCGGGAGGATATATAGTAATCGGTATTTCCGTCCGCCCGTCTGTCCGTCCGTCCGTCTGTTACGCTTTGGGGTACCCATACCGCAACTCCTCTCATACCACTGAAGGAAATTTAATGAAACTTCCACAGAATCTTTATTACTAATTGCCATTGTGCACCTCCTATTTCACTTCTTGATCTGGCATATATTTTGGATTTTCCAGAGCAAAACATGGACACTGCCATTTTATTCATATGGGAGGCGGGGGTATCATTTAGTGAGCTCATTGCTCACAGTACCTCTAGTTTATCCCTTAAAATTTTGGAAAAATAAAACGTAAATAGCCTTCTGTTAAATAATTTAAAATTTCTCCGGATCGAAATTCCGAGCTCAGGATATCGGAATCCTTTGTCTAATGTATAGCAATTTTCAAAAATATTTGTGAATGTTCTTCATAGATTCCTCTTATGAATGCATAGTGTAACGTATCGATCACCGAAATAACAACAATGATGATCGATTCCGCTAATGTAATGGGATATACAATGGACAGGGCTAGGAATCATATAAGGTGGCAAGATTAAAGGGGGTCCTCTTCATGACTGCGAAAAGTGATCTCAGAAAGCGAATCCCGTGTTCGATCTAGCGGACTCAGAGCTGACCCCTAGCGAACGCGGAGCGAACCCGGAGAGAACCTAGAACTCTCCTAATGTTTCTCATAGCAGATTCCGAGCGGACCCGTTGGTTGTGTCCGGTCAGTACTCTACCACACTACTCACATGCAAACATCCTTACACATCTCCATGCACAACCAAGATCTCACAGAAAAAAGAGAAATTTCTTACCTGGAAAGAGTATTGGAAGCTGCTGTTTTGTAAATTTGAACGGACCGTTTTTCATATCGTGTTGATTCTCTAATAAGAGACGGCTTAGCTCTGTTTGGTCGATGATGCTATCAAAATATATTCTCATTGCTGTCCTTGCTAGCCTTGTCAATAACGCAAATCTGCGGAAATTGTTTTCTTCCGGTTCTTGCATATTTTCTAAAATGTGAGAAGATTGATTTTGCAAATATTATTTGACGTAACGAAGTACATAGGAATATGTCTTAGTAGTTTTGCTTAAGCGAACATGAATGTATTAAATAACAAAAAGCTGTTTAACAGATGGTTATCCTACTAGCAGTCTAGTATAGCTCAAACCAGAATGGTTCAACGTTCTAAAAATCCAAACTGGACTTCATCTAAATCAGTTTTATAAAAGCAGTAAAATACTGAAAAAGTTAATAAATTTGATCTTTCTATGTCTGAGGTTTTGACATACATATCTAAGTAGGAATGCATTACGCAGTCTGTTTTAACATTCTTTAAATTTCTACGTATTTCTTTAAATTAATGAAATTTTGTGCAAACAAATTTTCTTACGAGGTTCAAGAAGTGTGTCAGATGACTCTTCTCTTTGGTCAACTGCAATTTCTGGCGGATTATGCTAAAAAGATGAATATTATAAAACATTTGAAAGCCGGAGATTTTCAGGATGGTGCTAAAAGATTCAATTTCATTTTTTGAGGTGTTCTTCCAATGACTATTAGGGAAGAGACAACTGGGAAACAAATAATGTTCATGTTTTAAATTTATAAAAACAGATGGACTGTATAAGGAATAATAATAAAAATATATGGCATATTTTGTATGTCCAGAAAATTAAAAGTAAAGAACAAAAAACGAATATGAGTTACATGTCCAGTAGAAGAAAATGTCCTACAAGTATAAATCATGCCATGAAAACGAAGGTAACAATAGTAACCGTGTAAACAAAAAAGGAATAAAATACAGTACATGTTAATCAAAAGGAATAAAAAATTTATTTATTAAAAAATATCTTTATGAAAATAAAACAAATTATTTGGGAATATTTTTTAAACCTATGGTTAAAAACACCATAACACTAGTAACAAATAAGGAGACCATATTTGTCAATCATATCTTAAAAAGAAATTGAAACGATATTGAGAAATTTGGGAGAAATTATTTCTTTTAAATATATGGACCTAACCCGATCAAAATTAAACTGATCCCGATCAAAATTAACACAAAATGATTAAGAAATAAAGTCCGCGTTTTCGTGAATTTTGTAGAATAACCTCCGAGGTCGAGAAATATTGTTTGAAAGATAAAAGCCTTTTAAAAAAAAGGAATGAAATACGGTACATGTTAATCAAAAGGAATCAAAAGGCATCATTATCATGAAGATATTTTTCTCCACTTCTCGACGTTTTTTTAAGATGTTCGAAAGCATAAACTCGACGTAAACGGCGAATTCCCAGTCTCCTTTTTCAGATATATAGCAGGCATTCCAAGGCCATTAACCGAATGACATGACCAGCCTCTGTGTATTTTAAAACTGGTAATTACGCGACACATTCATTACAATGATAATGTTGTTTTTTTAATTCATAAAGATACGTAATGAGAAAGAAAGATAAATAATATCGTATAATTGATTTAAAGAGATAAAGAGATAATGAATTGATTCAAATGAAACAAATTGAACGGTAGACTGACAAAAGATCAAGTTAAGATTATTTTACATGTCTCAACTTGACAGAGGACTCAAATTTAACAATCACGACGAATACAAACCTTTGTCCAGTATTCAAGAATCTTGGAAACATTGATGTCATGATGATCTTCCAAACCGTGCCTAGGACATGACATGTCCGAGATGCCAAGAATTGAATCTTCAGTTATAAATGAATTTTCTAACTCAACACCTATTTCTGTTTCAGAACAGAAGTAACCTATTGTAAAATCCAGCCTTTGATGAAATGTATTCATTAACGAAAGAATACAAGAATGGAGACACTCGCGTATTGCAAGCGTTGATTGTCTTGAAAGGTGTCGGTTTTCACTGAGACTAAATACTTGAATGTGTATACAATTTCTGCTTACAGCAATCACAATATTTTGATATGCATGAGTAAAAATAGCTGCAGCATGGTAAAGACATAGTTCTCCATTATTTTGTAAAACTTCCCATTTATTTCTGACAATGCAAAGAACTACTAGTCTGTGAAAGATAAAAAGTGGAAGAAAGTCGAATTGATACAAAAGAATCCATGTCTTCTCAGAAGCCGATTTGACTTTCTCGCGTAATTCTTTATTAAAACTTTTTTTGTTCATGCATGGAATGAAATGGGGTGGACCAATAGCAATTAATCCTAGTCTTTGCATAAAAAGAAGTAAATTCTCTTTGTGTTCAACAAATTTCTCATTTCTTCGTGGTTTCCATATTTCATTGAGCAAGGTGTCTTTCAGAATGCCTGTTCTGTTAAATTCTTCCCAGACTCGTGAAAGCAGTCCCGCATTTCTAACATGCTCTTTGTCTGCAATTATATATTTAAATGCATCGACAAACCATTGGACATCAATTATGACTATGTCTCTAAGAACATCTTCATTGAAGAAGAGGATAGCACCAATATCATGGTAAAATTGTAGCATATCTAAGACTTCTTGCTCAGAATCAGCTATATCTTTCATTGCCAAAACCTCTGTCATCCGTAGCAGTTTTTTTGTTTTGATAATTTGTTTCAGAAAAGCCTCAAACTTTGCCCAGCGATTAGGTATTTCCTCCCCCCAGAAAACCCTATCCTTAGTAAGAGAAACAATGTTCTCTGCTATAAAGTCTATTTTATTTGGCGGAAACTGTATTCCATGAAAGTTTTCCAAGTGCAAATGCGTTTTCAAGTGGTCGGGTAGATGCCTCGTTATTTCAGTCCAATACTGTTCTATTACCTGTAACAGACGCATGTTTATTATCTTTTAGCATATCTTTTAAATACAACCAGGCCTTTAAATCAATAGAACATATGATTAGTATACTATTGCTTTACATTATAATATAAGGTTTGAAAGATACATACATTGTTTGTCTTTCCTTCACAGTGTGTTGTAACCACAATAGCTGGAGTGTCGTCGTCGCAATAAGTATGGATTGAACTTAACCAGAAGAAGAAAAAATCTGGAAAACATAAATAATGACTAATATTGAACATTTTAAATAAAGGAGTTTAAAACTCTGAACTTTCCTTGCAATTTTATGCTACAAACATGCTTATGGTAAAAACAGTAGCTGTAAACAAATAAGGATATGGAAATTACGCACAGTATTTAATACTGAAGACCATAAAACAACACAAAAGCAGAGCAGAGCAAACACGGACCTCCGAAATATCAGAGGTGGGATCAGGTGCCCTGGAGGAGTGAGCGTCCCATGCTGACCGGTCCCACCGCCATGTGCTCCTTGTCATGATTATGAAATAACGGAAACATCCGTCGTCAATTCAGTGTATAAATAATGGACTAACAATTGGTTTGAAAAACGTCAGTCAGCATTTGGCTCAACGATAAATTGTAATTGCTGACAAGGTCATTGTATTGACCATAGAATTTTCGAAATGATGACTTTAAACGAGACTGTTGATATTCTTGTTTCATCAACTAGCTTGTCAATAAAATACCTCATTCTAGAAATTGTTCCTACGTAGAGCAAGCTCTTGCGTATCGAATTAACTGAGATATACACACTAAGTATGCAGGTGATGAAGGTATTTTGTTGCATAAGTAAGGGAAGTTGACGATAGAAAACGTGAAGTCATCACGTTTATCATATAGTTTGGTTGTTAGATTACCATTAACGTCTTTTTAAAGAAAAATATTCATGTATGAAACAGGTGTGTCAGATTCTGTGTATCTTTTTATCTCAAGTTCCCAGGATATATCTTATCGACGTAGGAATGGAGATTACCATTGTTAATTGACAATACGTCGTCGACATATGTAAATGTCGAGTTGAAGACCACAGCAAGTGTTTTTTTTTTCACGCAAAAGATTTTGCACAAATTCTGCTTCAGATAAATATAAAAAAAGGTCCGCTAATAACGGAATGCAATTGGTATCCACGGGATTTCCAATAGATTGTTGGAATATCTCGTCTCAAAAACTACATAGATAATGTCAATCAGAAACGCGAGTATCTCTTTGATATCAATTTTAAAGTACTTGAGTATTTTAACAAAATAATTTTGCAAATGACCAATGACCAGGTAAGTAAATTAATGAGTTCCATTTTCATTTAAAAAAGCAGCAGTCAATGATATCAAAAAGCCTGGACTTTTGATTTATCATGGGGAATGGTTGTATATAAAGTTGAAAAGTTTAAACTTTTCATTTGGTAAAATCTTGTGATTTCAAATTGTCTAAAATTTCTTTATAATATGAAAACGTAGTTGTCACGTAGTTGTCATGGCATCCTTCAAAAGTATGTGCACACAGATGCTTATCACAAGTGCTTGTAGACCAAACAACTTCCCCATCCCCAACACCAAATATACATACCGGGTCCCAAGATATTCATATTTGTCTTCTTTCATAAATTAACCGTTTAGCACATATTTACAATGTATTTCATATAAAAAATCCAAAAGTACACAGAATTCACTTTTTGTTTTGAAAAAATCATGCCCGTAGTATCTTAAATCACCTCTGACTTTTTAACTGCGGGTATCAATTTTGTATGTTGTAAATTGTAAATGTTATCAATGAAAGAAAGCCTAAAATATCTTTGGACCCGGATTTATATATATTCCAGCGGTTGGGGGAGGGGGTGGGGGTCATAGGTCCTATGATGGCATGCTAATATGGAACTTGCTCTCATATATCTTAAATTATGTCAAAAACACAATTCACTAAACTTCCATTTTTGCGCTGACCCCCCCCCCCTCCGAATGTTGGGGATATTAATTTGGTCTGCCCGTCGGTCTTTTTGTAATTCTTTCCGTCTGTTACACTTTTGTTTCGAGCAATATCCCGAGAAGCCTTTGAGCTTTTACAGTGATATAAAAATAGCTTTGGGTCTGGGATGTTAAGGGGTGGGGGGGATCCAGTCCACTAGCACCCGTGAGAATTATATGAAGATTTTTAAGATGCATGTTTGTAAGAAGAAGCTTTATCAACCGACAAATTACGAACGGACATCCCCCTGGATTAATGATATGGCTATAATAACTGTGTATTTAAGCCATATTAATTTTATTTTTGCAGCATGTAGTATTTTGAACAAGATTTTTAAAAAAAAGATTTTTAGGTTTTGGCAATTTAATTTTAAGTAACCCCCCCCCCCCTTTCGATTAGATCCGCACATACTATTATTTTTTATTACATGCCACAGAATGACATTTTTTAAATTTTCCTTTCATTTCCCTTCTCGAACCCCTTTGCTCGTTTAAAGGTCCATTGAAATGTATTGTAGCGTCACGGTAGAGACTACGACAAGACAAGGCTTTGAGGTATCTTGTGGGGATTTTATCTATCGAAATCCCAATAAAATTGAAGAATTCAATAATCCAACCGTGAATACAATAGACTACAAAGACTGATCCCCGTTTTTTTGTTACGTTCGTTCGTAAGATGTCGGTGTTTCTCTATTAAAAGAGATATTATTGTAACCTATCAATAAATAAATTACATGTATCTCGAACACAGTGTCTGGAATTACTTTAGCCATTAAAAAGAAATGCTTAAAGGTACTTGGACACAGATTTGAAGTTAATATTTTCTCATTTTTTCTGCATAATCTCACGAATTATATATTTTAATAGCATTTCACACAAAAATTAATTAAAAATCTTATTTCATTTAAAAGTTATTAAAACTTAAATTTTTTTGGCGGGTTTGATTGACACATCCTTGCACTTTCACACATTTTAACTTTATTCTTAATCCTTAGGAAAAGTGGCAATTTTGATGTGTTTTAATGAGAAATATTAAAACTTTCATCAAGAAAAATAATTTTATTCAGAGTAGAAATGTTAGAAAGCAAAACACCTTCACAAGTAACGTCATTCCGAACTAAGAGAGTTCAGAAAATCGAGCACACTCGTGTTATGTACACAGTTTTTGTAAACAGGGCTCGAGTTCTGTTATTGTTTCATATTTAGAATTCACCGGGTGCGTTCAATCGTCACAGTCTGCTTACCACAACTGCACGGACTGACAATATATTGTGTGTTAGTTTTGCTTTCGAACGTGTCTACTCTGAATTATCTGGATTATAGTATTAATATTTTTCATTTATACAAAACGAGATTGCCACTTTTCCTAAGGATTAAGAGTAAAATTAAATTCTTGAGAGTGCAAGGATATGTCAATCAAACCCGCCGAAAAAATTTGAAATTTCAATATCTTTTAAACGAAATAAGATTTTTAATTAATTTTTGTGTGAAATGCTATTAAAATATATAAGTCGTAATATTATAGAGAAAATAATAACTTCAAATCTGTGTCCAAGTACCTTTAAGTTACCAAAGCTTGATCTTAGTTATTCTGATATTCTTTAGAGGTTTTGAATAAAGTTATATATGATTATGAAGTTTCTACGAGGGCTTAATTATTGGGGAAAATTATTGAGACATTGCGTATATTTTGCTTTCTAATGAACGTCGTTCGGTGAAAATTTGCATATACGTTTGAAATACACAAATAAATAATAAAAGCAAAAAATATTTTACAATTTTTAAATATTTTCTGTACAGTGGTATATAAATGCGTCAATAGTAGGGGTACCCGGAGCAGTCACAAAATCAGATATTGAAAATATGTATCACCAACGTTCTAACTCTTCGTAGACGTTTAATAAGAGCGAAAATAATTCAGTTTATGTGTATTATTTTTCAGCTTTATTTCAAATTCATGTTGTTCAACTTTGTTAGAATTTCGATCAGAAATACGGAGATCATAAAAAAATCAAGCGCGGTAGAAAAATCTGGTAAGAACGCAAAGATGAATTTTGACGTCAAGGGCGGAGCAGCCAGCATACCTTAAATTTTGTGTAGCACAATGTAGAACTCTTTTCCAGACTGAACGACCTGCTAAAACAATAACAATAAGAAAAAAAATAATGTGTTAGGGTATCTTATTTCATTTGAATACATTTTTATTTTACAATTAATTCAACAAGAGTAAAATCAAAAACTCCGGACGACCGTCAGTTATACGTACTGCATTAATATCGTTGACCCGCGTTGCATAAATCGGCACTGCATAATTTTTAATCTTTTTCAACAAGTGAAATTTTTACACTGGGGTAGCAACAGCATATATTTTAAAAGAATAGATTAAGAAAATAAACTGTTTGGTTTTGTAATGTTATATGTGATAACAAAGAAGGAAAAGTATTAAAGAATTGCCGATCGTTTTTACATGCGAAGCCATCTCCGGCTGAAGCGACGTTAAATGGCGTAATGATGCTGCTCCGGATCGATAGACATATGCATGTTATCACTTCACCAAAACTTTTCTTATTAACATAGGAATAAGAAATTTTATGTAAGTGTTTTATTCGTTCTTTATAAAAAGTTGATGAATTTTCATGAAATTATCTCTATCCTTTATCGAGCAAATGTAACTGTCTCAATAATTTCTTAACAACCCTCGTACACATATACATGCATGGTCTATGAAGGGTTTTGGTGTGCAATTTTAGTTGGGAGGGGACACAAGCAAAGTAAAAATGTATTGACATGTATAAAGTGTAAAAACATAAAGTAGGTACATTTAACGTTTTCTATCGTTTATTGACTGGCAAATTAATTTTTAAAGCGTAAACTGTCCCAAGTTATGTTATATCGTATAACATAAGTTATAACAATACAAAAAAGGAGCAGAGCAAACATCAGAGGTGGATTGAGTGCCATGGAGAAGTGAGCATCCCCTGCTGACCGGTCACACCCGCCGTGTTCTTCTTGTCATGATCGAGAAATAACGGAAAAATCCGTCGTCAATTCACTGTATAAATAATGGCCTAACAATTAGTATGAAAAACGTCATCATTTGACTCAATGATAAATTGTATTTGCTGACAAGGTAATTGTATCGACCATTGAACTTACGAAATGATGATTTTAAACCAGACTGCTTATATTCATGTTTAATCAACTTGTTTGTCAATAATTTACCTTTTAA